ATATTATATTTGATAAATTTTGCATTCACAATGCTATACCGATAAATATCTGCAATAAAAAATACTTTAAAAATCCACCAAACCCAGTTACCCTAAGATGGGTCTCGGACCCACGAACATTCACCGGGCGTACTCTCATCTACCCGATATCGAAAATTGACGAATTTTCCAAGCACTTGTTACTTTTCGCTACTAGTTAGCGGATTTTCATTACTGTTTAGGCAATCCACCCAAACAGCCGAAGGAAATATTTTTACAAATATTTAAAACTTTCGATTAATATGAAATTTTGTACTAATTGTTATGTTTGATCAATTTTGTTTTCACAATGCTGTACCGATAAATATCTTGGAAGTCGTACAATATCAATATGTTGCTGGGCAACAGTTACGTCATTTATTTATCAAAGGCAGACATTTAACATTCCGAATTTAATAATTATAAACGTAATTTTTTTTATCAGTATCAATAAAGAACAAATAAAATAACTGTTTAACTCAAACAAGCGATTCAAGGCTCGTAAAATAAAACCACATTAATTGTAACCAGGGATTGCTCCATAGCATTCTTAGTTCAGTCATAGCTAAGTTAATGGACCAATAAAAAATAGATTCTAAAGTGAACCATCCTAGCTTAGCACTTGTACGATATATATATATTGAACACCCAAATAATAAAAATCATCCAATTACGACAATACTGCGTTATTCCTTATGTACAAGCCGATATTTGAAACCTTATGAATTACTTACTTACTTCCTTGATTTGAACAGTGTGGAAATCTGTTCAGCAGGGCATATATAGGCAGAGTGGACGGAAAGGTTTAGTAGGATGTAAGGATTACGGTTTGATAAAATTCAATTCTGAAAGAAAAAACATTGTTTACGTATACGTATTTTTATAATAACAAAACATGACTTAGAGACATTTTAAGGGCTTATTAAATATATGGCAATAAACAATTGAGTACTGATTTGTTGACCACGATCTCTGAACTAGAAACGATATTATTATGTTTGACCAATTTTGCATTTATAATGCTATACTGGAAAATATTCTAAATAAAAATCCACTTTGTCCCTGATACTCTATGAGATGTTTGAACTACAATTGGAGCCTTCTTTCGACATGAACACTACATAAACGGCAGGTTATTAATAGAACCAACAATTCGTTATAATCATAGTATAAATTCCGAAAGCCATTTATAATTCACAACGCAATATATGGGCATTGTTAATTCATTCAACAATGTCGGGTACTCGAGACGGATTACAACACTGGAACTTTTGAAAAAATTGTAAATTTTGAAAGCCACATTTATATCATGATGCTCTAAAATGACATATATCGCATTAAGACTGATATTCCAATAGCTTTTACAATACAATTGAAATAATTTATCTAATAAAAGAGATAAGATTGTTCGTTCTGAAATATCGATAGCAAATGCTCTTAAGAAAAATTTATGCAATTAGCCAAAATTCCAAGAAGATGTAAACCAATAAACATTGCTCGGTAATAAAGGAATCGCCATAAATTCAGTTGAACTAATTCCAAACATTAAATGCCCTGTTATTTTAGAGAAAATTCGGAAAGGAACTTTGGAGAAAACAGCGCATACTCCCGTCAGCTGCTCAACAACACCCGAGTTATTTAATTAAAATTAATTAAGAATCTAGATTACGTAAATGCTTTTGTTTCGCAGAAACTTCATATACCCTTCTATGTAGGTACTGTTAATTGTTCTGAGTTGTGGGCTTTCTTCAAAGCGAATAGTTATTATCACAATTCACTTTTATATAACTTTTAATCAAATCTCTGTTGCTTCTCAACTTTTACCGAGTGTTCTCACCACTACGCGCAAAACTTTTGTGATTTTCAGTACTTCAAAAATTTTATTGGATATCTTAGTACCTATTTTACTTTAAAATAACTAAGAAGTTCGTTGGTACAGTGGTGAGGGCATTCAGTTTTCGATTACGAGAGCAACTTTAGTACAAAGCAATCATGAGATGGTTTAATTTTTTTTTTATCTTGAGCTCCTCTGTTCATTGACAGGCATGTTTACTCTTTGGTTATAACAATATTTGCAGTATTTAACGCCCATCTGTCTACAGTACAACTGTATGGCGTCAGATTATTATTGAAGAATATTAATCACGATTTTTTATTTTTTTACATAATCAATAAATTACTGCGGTACGTTGACTTGAAATATCGCATAACGTCACACCTTTGTACATTTCCTACGAGGTTGTAAAATAGCGAGTCCCCACTCCTCAACTTTACTGACGTATATAGCATTTTAAATATTCATCTCGGAAACTGAATAACACCTCAGCTGACTATAAAGAGACTATAGAATTAATAGTTATTAACTCGATGAATATTTTTTACAAGGCAACTGCCGAACTCGATCCCCAGTGGGATAAACAGAAACCGAGAATTCCCACTTGCTTACGCACATTTTCGACTACTAAAATACGCAACATTTAAATTCACCAAAACAGATCCTTGACTACATTAGAAACCTCTCAGTTATTTTGTAATAGAACTTGCATCGCGCTCATGATATTCACCGTCTGGATTATATAAGTATATTCATATACGGAGTTTGCAGTTGCAATGTTATCGCGATCGCGATTATCTCGAACTCCGCCTTTGGAATCGACTGCATTTGCAGTCAATTAACACCCACCGATGAGGACTTTACTAGGGATTTTAATAGGCTAATGATGACGATACAGTCCTAGTAAATTTTAATCTCTACTGGATTTATATCCTCTTATAGTTAGTAAATATCTAAATCAAATGGGACAAAACTAATAATACACATTAATGCTCGAAATTCATGTCATCCTTTAAAATATTTCGGATCGGCTATGTCCCAGTTGTCTAGGCCGATGTAAAATACGCGCCTCAAGGGAAATTTATTTGCGGCACAGATCCTAAGCCGCTATAATGTGGCATCGATGCCGAAGGTATTACAGTTCTGGAAAAACTGTTATAGGAACCCGTCTGATGACAGTGCGATTATGGCTGGGGATTTTTCCGAGAAAATGTTTATGAGTTAATCTGCTGTACGAGTATTTTGTATTTGCTTTTCATTCTTTTTATCGGAAATGCTAATTGGAGTTTATTTTATTGAAACATAAAACGTTTATATTATAGGTATGTGAACGACACGAAAAAGTTAATTACTTATTCGCCTGATGAGTACTTGAATGACATGGTAATATTGTATTTATAGCAGCATGTAACAGGATGATAAGAAATGTAGTGAAAAAATCTTCACGATCGAGAGACTGTCTCGCCATCTGGTTCTGGTTCTAAAGTTCTGAGTTAGATTTGAAAGATATCAGGATAGTCGTGAAACAAAAACTTACATTTTTGTTAAGTTTAAGGTTAAGTTTGGTGATTTTCTAAAAGTATAATATCACTTTTCTATAAAACAATGTATCTCCGAAGTACTCATATAAACAGTATAGTTATGCGAATACTTACATTGCAGTCTATTGATACTGTAAAATATACCTCTCATGAAACTGTGGGAAACTTTAGCCAGGCGGTTCCCATACAATCGCCTTGCAATCAACATTATGTCCGAGTTTAAATATGAATCAATGTTCGGAAATCCACATTCTAGTGCCATTGTGAATATTTAAGTTATATAATGCATATCCTCAAAATTAATGTTATAATAGTAGCTATTTTTTTAAAAGTAACTATTAAAGAGAGGTGAATTATACGTTTTTGGGCGTAAGTAAAATTATATATCCCTTTCGGTAGACCGAGCACAAAGGGGCACGATCAATACATACATCTCTCGCTTCCTCCACTTTTAATACTCTTTTCAAACACCATCATCATAATCATCACCACCAGTCTATTAATGTCTCCGCTGCTGGTGCTCAGGCCTTCCCTATGGATGGAATCGAATAGAAAATTGACTATAACCCATCACATAGGCCCAGTTTAGAATGATGGGTATGAACAACTGCAGACGAAGCCGAGACCATCAGCTTAAGGTGCCTTCCGAACCACTCCGAACTCGAGATAATACATTTTTGGTCACCCAATATGGCACAGTAGCACGCCATCGAGCTCCTCACGTTTTCAAACAAGCTGGTCGGTTTTTGTAGCTTCCGATATCACTTTGCAATAGCGCGCCATTAATTTGATATTGAAATTTCTATAATGTGTATTCATTTAAAATATAAAACCTGTTTCCTTGCTTTACGTTTTAAAACCTTAACCGTATTAATGATATATGCACGCTGTGCCTTTTTATACTGTCGCTATATCTAAAGTCTAAAGTCTCAGATTCGATTTCTAAACATTTTGTTCTATACTCTTGGTAACAAAGTAATTTTTTGGTTTATTTAAAATAATCAACGCAATTTATATTTTGAGCATTAACACTGACGGCTAAACTTGTTTTCATAAATATTAATTAAAAATAACAAGCTTCATTATAAATGACACAAACGATGCTGAGCTTAAGTTTATTTATTTTTCATTACGACTAGACGGAAAATCTTTGCAAGATACAGAAAAAAAAAACAATTATAATTTAAATAGAAAGTTAAATATACACATTTTTATTTCACTTTTTTATTAAAATAATCAAAGAGTACTTTTTATTTTATTGTACAAATATTTTAATAAACTAATTATTAAAAAAAAATTAAAAGGGATTAACTTCCTTGTAAATTTTATTAAAAGGCATAAATCTTTGGTTAAAAAGTATTGATTTGTCTTCGTACTTTTTTCTTTAAAAAAATATTAGAAAATTCATCGTACTTACAAACATAAGTACCTAATAAATTTTACTTAATTATAAAAATAATTTTATTCTATCTTATATGTAAATACAAAAATAGTTTTATTTCCTATCTAATATTTACAAAAATAATACCTATACCTTAAAATCTAAAATAAAAATTAATGCTACGTCATTGGTATTCCAAATATTGTTATAATTAGGACTACAGTAATCATGACTCTGGAACTGCTGATTGAGCAACCTGAAAAAGAAAAATTAAAAGTGTTCAATGCGATATTTGTAACAGTATTTATTAACGTGATGCGTGTGTTTTAATACTTCATCAATTATATTCAGACTGTTTGTATTTTTAGAGGAAGAATTATTGACAGTTGACATATATCAAAAATGGTATGGTTAAAGCAAACATATGGAAAATAAATTGTATGAAATTAATAGTAATTCCATTATCAACAAGTTATGAAAATTAACATTAAAAATAATTATTTTGAATATACTAGTTTTAAATTTTGTTCCTTATAGAGATATAATCGTAGTTTTTATCGAATTTTAGTCCTAGTAAATTTCTATTGCATGTTCGTCAATTCATAAACCATTGCCCAGACTAATTGTCTTACATTTCTATAATAATACAATTAGGTTATTAAGTATTTAATGTTATTTAGAAAAAGTATAATTATTACCACTGTCTGGCTCTTGAGTGTGAGCTGAATTCGGCGACTCGGGATTAATTGGTAGTGGATCTGTAAAAATGTACCATACTTAGTCAATTAAATCCCACATTGTCCCTGGCATTCTGGGGGGCTCCAGATTGAATATCAGATTTTGAAGAAAAATCGTTATATTATAAAGTAACAAAAAAAATGAGCTTCATAAAAATGTCGGACGTTTGAAAAATCGAACATTAACTTTTCTACATTGCCCAGACTAATTGTCTAATCTAGGCTAGTCTAATTGTACATTTCCATAATACAAATGCTAAAAGCTATTTAGGTATTGTGGGATCTGAGAAATGTATGTAATGTTTCCCAACATCAACTTTTTACGTCGTTCGGAACGCAATCCCTTGCTAATAACAGCCAATAAGGCTGTAATACATAATTGATACCTTCATCTTAGACAACTTCGTTCTTCGTACATAATAATGAATTGGAGGTATCAATTTGAATTTTTTTGCAAAGAAAACGTCACATCACCTCTATAAAATATATCCCGTTTTCTGCTATAGTAGTTCGCCAAAGGCACCTGCATATCGCATAAGATCTCCACGGTGGGTGGCAAAGCGTCCACCTTCACAACTGCACTCGTCAACGCTACATAACGATCATTGATTATTTTCAATGAAGACTTTGCATTTAAGGGTCTGCAAAAAAAACATACTTTAAAATAGTTGATAGTTTTATCACATTTCCTAGTACAGAAAGAGTAGGGAAACATGCTTGTTTCTATTAGAGTTTATAGCGATTCTGCTAATCTTAAGGTTAATTTTCATTAATTCAAAAGACCCACGTGCTACGCATATTCATAAAGCATACAATAGGAACATTTATTATTGCATCGTAAGTAATCGATCCGTTCTAAACTCGATGCGATATGCAATCGATCAGCGGAATCGAGCTCTCGCGTAGCGTACAGTTGGCCAGTGTAATAACAACGTAGGTACCTATTCTGCTGATCTATAAAACATAAAACTATTTCAGTAGAAAATAAAAAATATGTACGTGTAAACAATTGGCGGCCACTGGCCATAGTCTAATTAATATTCCTTGCTCTACGACAAATAGAATTTTTGTACAAAATTGGAAATTAGCCTGCTTTTTTTGAAAAACGGAAAGATTAATGTAAATATCATAAAAAGAGCGTTTTTTATCGCTTTATATTTACATCAATTCATATTTTTCAAATAACATGATCTCGGTAGTTACAGCGCAGTGAATATTTTGAACAATGTGGGTTACAGCGTTTTTGCTTGTAAGGATTTAGTAACGCACCACATTCACTACACTTCTTCGAAGATAAAATGATTATTCGTGGCGGTTTACTACAATCCACGCATATAATAATATTTGAAATAAACTTTAATAATGTGATGGAGAAAGCATAAATGAAAGTAATGTAATATTTTTAGTAATAAATAATATACTTATTGATGCTAGTACCTTAATTCTAATTACAGTATTTACATTAAATTTTGCGTAAATTTGGTAGTTTGTGTATATAAACTACAGTAAATACTCAATCCTCTTTCTATTAAATTAAAAATAAAATATTAAAGCGCATATTAATGCGAAAATCATATTAAATATAAGAGAGTATCAACTACGTTCAATATTAAATAATCTGTATTTTAAGATTCAGGCTTCAGTGTCCACAATTAATTACTTAGAGATTAGAATTTAGTCTGGGTATATGATTAAGGGTTCTCTAGATAACAGGGAACATGAGATATGGGAGCTAATAAGAGTTTCAAATCATCCAGGCTTGATTAAAACTTTAATATTAAAATGTTATTACTGATCTATATAGGAGCTCTATACAATAGTGACTTATTAGCTAAAGCTCCTCCATGCTTTGAAAAGCATGTTTAGTAGTTGGTATCAGCTATATTTACAGTCGTTAACACCCACCGATCCGCACTGGGCCCGCATGTTGGTTTATAGCCCGCTCTCCCTCTTCCATTTGATTCAATTCCATCTGTAGGGAAGTCTTGTGCCCCGGCAGTAAGAAAATTGATAGGCTGATGTGGATGCATTCATCATTATCTATATATTTTTATATCTTTACTTATTTAAAAAAAAATAAAGATTTCATAAACTTTATTATTCAAAGTTGCCTTAACTATTATGAATATCAAATTCATTTAAATAACTTGCTGGAGGAAAGAATAACTCTGACTATCGATAGCATAATATTGATAAATTCTACTCAACCTTCATTAGAATACAGATTCTCTATGAACTCCATCGTCTGAGGTATTCGGTTTATCTAGGTTTAAGGTAATAGCTAAAAGGTACTTGTAAACCTTCGAGGTGCAATCCTAATTATGAAATCTTTATTAGGTATTTGAGAAGAAGTTACTGTTATACAAGCTTTTTTTTTTGTTGCTGAAATAAAAGCCTTTGCTAATGCTATACATTAAAGTACCAAACATGTGTAAATGTATTTTTTGTATAGAAAAAATATTATAGAAGTAATTTCGTCTACAACTTTTATTTAAGTAAATTTGCTACATCTTTGTAGCGTTTATAAAAGCACGCAAACGAAAACAAAAAAATAAATATTATTATCCGATGATAATAATATCGATATATTGCATCGCCACGTTTCCCAGCACTGTTTATCCAATTCGGCATAAGACCGTAACTCAAGTCGTACGTCACATTTGACATGAAATGTACTACTATACTCGAGCGATGTCAAACGCCTCGATGTACGCACATATATAGGTAAATTAAAATGGCGTGCATATCCTACATGACCGGTATATGAAACTGTCTGTATAACGAATAATGTTAAAGGAAAGAAACCGTTAATTATTTTTCTAGTTTAACCTGTCTAAATTGTTATGTTTCTATATTTGAAATAATTATTTACTCTTTTGTATTTTAGCATTAAATAACATATATTTTTTATAGACATAAATACCGACGACCTCCATAGCATTTCTGATCGCCATCTACATTGACCCGGAATCATACCCGTCTCGGGTACTATTCCCGGACGAGTCAATGTATAAAATTAACTTTTCTATATTGTCTCGTCTAGGTGTTGTAGTAACATTGTTGTCTCAGATAATTCAGATTGTGTGATGTTGTCTAATATTTATTTATTAATAATAGTATCTTAGAGAAAAATAAAGAATAGCCTTTTATACAAAAAAAATATTAAAGCTTTTGGAGAGATAATTTTCTGACGAAGCCGTAAATAAATGAACTATATTTAACTCACCTATTACCAGCTAAAATGACTAGTTCAGGTTTTGGATAAACGCCTTCAACTGAGCAGATAATATTCAAGTATCCGTCCGCTAATCTGTCCAATATCATATCGAATTTTTTCTCCGGATCTGCAATGGAAATTCAGTTTTAACTCTACTACAATAAGCAAAATAATTGTATTTTCGTATGATATACCAATAGACTTTATTGCATAATGAGGAAATACAACAAAGACACAGACGTACATATCAGTAAAGCAAATAAAGACTTTTCTGCTTCATCATCATAATGTCCCTACTACTGGGGCTCAGGCCTTTGTTGGAATCGTATCAAAACGAATATTCTTATCGCTTAAAAAAAAACCCAGGCAACAAATTATGGATATTTAAAAAACCTGTTCGGGCAGTGCTGTTCTAATAATATAGAGTTTTTTAAATTTAATTTCGTTTTTTGTATAAACAAATCTTGCAAGTTGAATTTAACCCACTTCTCGGTTTTAGATTTAGCTGAAATTTTCTCATGTAATATAATTATTAGATAATAGAATGGAGAAAAGAACGGTGACCTAATTGTCTAGTTTCAAAATCCCTTACAAACGTACTTACTACTTATAGCAGTTGTGATAGTGATTTATAGAATTGTGCTACTTTTTAAGTCACAATCATTTTTGGAGAAATGGTGATTTGGATGATATAAATGTTATAAGCAATTCATTTCGATTGACATTTCCCGATAGATTTCAAAGATATTAGCAACTATCACTTTACTAAGACAATTCCGATTAACATCAAATAAACGTTATCATTAATTAAAAAAATTATAGGTATCTTTAAAAAAAAAACGTTGCTATCACAATTGTTATCACATGTTAATTAGTCGTAGCGTGAAGTTAGTGAATATCTTTCAAATGTCAAATTCAAAGTGATATTGATAAATTTTAAAATAAGACAATTAATTAGTGAGATGACCATGAAACTCCTGGATTCAAACGAATATATTCCATTAAGATTGGGCTCGTTTTATTTCTCTTGACAAGTATTTTGGTCCAAGACTATATCTAGGCCATGATAATGGAACCAGAATGTGGCTGTAAGAATTTCATGATCAGAGGCACTCCGAGAAACAAGATACCATTATTGTACAATAATACATTACTTAATATAATTTTTAATATTTACAAAAAAATATAACATAACGGTGGGCACAAAGTTCAGCGTACAAAATACTTTTTTATAACCGTGATATAAAGAAATATCAAACTATGAACAGATATTTGCTGTATACTGCGATTCGTTGATGTATAAGTAATCAACGAATCGCAGTATTCAGCCCATAAATACTGCATTAAACCGTCAAGAAATTCAACAATAGCTATTTTTTATATTTCATACAGAGTCACTAGTTATAATTCATACAGAGCCTTATTCGAATATGATGACTATTTCTCGAAAATTCTTTGATCGTTTTTCACTTATCATTTAGAAATCCACTTCTTGGAAAAATAATTTAAAAAAAGTATCTATATCTATCTGGTTTATAGTATGAATTCCTCGAAGCAATCATTCAAGTGAAAAACAGTTGCTATCGAGTGGAAGAATACGGATTCACACACGAACTGCCAGCGCTAGAAACATGCTTGAATGATAATGTGTTCATTTTTTTTCATCCATAGTATAATCTTGAAAGCGGAGTCACCTTACAAACTTTATTATGCCTACAAGAGAGACTTATAATTGTACTTTATAACAGATTTCCAAAAAGGAGGAGATACTCTATTTTTCGCGTATAAGTTTCTCGAAATTTTGAAGTATTTTTGCATTTAACATGCATAAACTTGTGGTTTCACTATCATTAAAAAGTTTAAATTATAAAGAAGGTAACTACGAATTCAAATTAGGAAAATGTTTGAGTTTTATTTGTTTTTCTTACTGTCAAAATGCATGAATCTAATGAAGAAAATTTTGAATTAAAAATGTGACTCGAAAAAAAATTGTGACGTTTATGGACCTAATGCAGTTTCTGTAAGAGTAGCACAATTTTGGTTTAAGCGTTTTCAGTCCAGAAATTTTGATGTCAAATGTGCACATCGCTCCGGTTGCCTTGTTACGGATAAAATGGATGTTATTTTTATAAACAGATCAGTAGTTACAACGTAGCTGAAAAACTGGGGATTGACCACAAAACAGTTTTGGCGCATTTGAAAAGTTGAATACACAAAAATGTTAGATATTTGGGTACCTCACAAGCTCATTGATCTCATGGAAAGTGGATTACTTACGACAAGAACGAACAAAATAGGTGACCAAAGTCGGTCAGGCTAACAGACTGTGGCGAAACCCGGGTTAACTTGCAACAAGGTGCATTATGTATATCATAGAATAGTAACGTAGTAATAAATTCTCTTTGGAATAATAATCTATGAATCATTTAATATACCACAATCACCCATCCTTATTTATTTATATTTTATTTTTACTGTAAATCATAGTCTTGTAAATACGCTGGAGGTCGTCTTTCACGCAGAGGACGATCTGAATCAGAGTAATCACGGCTCAAGTTATCAATTCCAGAATTTTGTCTGTCATGATTAAAATTCTCTGTATCAAGCATATTATTTGGTACTGCTGCTAAATGCCAATTAGAAATAGTATCCTCTCTCCCATCAGCAAAACTTATGTGAGAATAACTCGGATTTTCTTACAATAATTCTACTTCTTTTACTAACGGGTTATTTTAGCCGTTCCGCAGATTTTTTTAAATAATATCGGTTCAGGAGTAGATAGTCAGTTGGGTAAAGAAACTCCATTTCCAGAATGCCTCAGAAATCTGAATAACCTGTCGTGTGGCGTAGAATTTATAGCTGTGTACTATAATGAACGAATATAATGTCTCTACGACAAAGGTAGAACATGTTTCCAATATTGGACGCCAAGATTTCTAGATCGTAAACACAGTTGGATCGTCCTCTATAAAATTTCATCGAGCAGTTCCACCTGACTATTCTTTTCGAGATTATAAGGGGTCGTTCAGCTGCAAGTGATATCATTTCTAAGAAGAAAATCCTTAAAAACTTCGGTCTGAATGTATGTATAAAAGTGTTCCAAAAGTGAAGAAAAGACCTTTAAGGCAGATTATTATTGTGGATGAAGAAATATCCTTGCAGGGGTAAACAAAAGGGAATCGTGAAAAATCATCAACAATAGTCAAATTGTACTTAATGAGACTGTTTGATGGAAGAAGGCCTTTAAAATCTAAGCTTAATAATTTAAACGGCGCTCCAGCTTTTATGAGTCTTCCCTTAGTATTATATAGCAAATCTAGCGTGAGTAAGAGAATATGTTGAGTTTTTAAAACGTATCCAATGGGTCATTCGTGTGATTCTAGATGGCATGTTGAGTTATGCAGTTCATATAAGCTTTTGCGTGAAAACTTTCTTCTTTTTTCAGGTCGATAAATAATATCATATTTGAAACATGATAGTTCTAGTCTCCATCTCTTTATTTAGGCATTTTTTTGTTTGTTTAACTATTAAGGTTTTGACTGAACATAAATGAGATGAATTGTTGATCAGTTAGGTTTGACAGTATTTTTTTTTAATCGTATAGCAAGTACAGTGATAGTATATATATTCATTTATATCTACGACAGCCATAAATTCATCTAAATATATATTACACTCTTTTTATCCTTTCTACAAAGTGTGACGTCATCAAGTCATATGTATCTTTAAGATCCTCAGTAGTAATGACATATTGCATCGTTCATTGGAAAGCCGACACTCCATTTGTAACTCCAAATGGTAAACGTATATATTGATACAAATTTTCACATGCTTTAAATGCTGTATAAGGTCGTTCAGTATGTAGAATCGGTACCTGGTAATAGCCGCTTTTGAGGTTTATTTGGCTATAGTATATGTTCAGAGCCATTTTTGACACTAAAGTTTCTGTGTTAAGTAAGGGATATGCATCAAATTCTGTAAGCTTGTTAATATTTCGAGAATAGTCGATAACGAGACGTTTACGATGTGAGCCTCCCCCTGTTACTGATACTTGGGCACGCCATGGTGACATGCTGGATTCTATTACCCCGTCTTTTAATTGTTTATCAATTTCTTCTTTGTTAAAATGTTCGTCATTCTCGCTACAGCGCCTTGATTTGACAGCAATAGGCGTGACATTGAACGATAAATTTGAAATAGAACAGCGTTAGGCAAAGGAGCCGCCAAACATTGCATATGTTTATTGATTCTCTAGATCCTCCAAACTGTAGTTCTAAGGAACGGTAGTGTTTAAGTAAATCATGTCCTAGTATAATATCAGCGTATAATGACGTACAATCAATAATTGTGCATTTTTTCATTGTCAGTACAATCAGATATATTTGAATATATACATGGAGATAAGTGATTAATCAGTATTTTTAATTTTTGTTCTTCTGTGAACTCACCAGTACTTTCCCAAAAGAAAGTTTGTTAGGGAATATTTCCAGTGTGTCCATTCTATATCTGCGTTTACCAGGCTTGGGTCTAAATCAAATTTTTCAGGTCTTAAGTAACGTACACAACTCGGTAAATCTGGATTTGATATTGACTTGTTTTTATGTGTTTCTTCTGTAGACGTTTTGTTTTTAATAAATGGTTATTAATTCCATTAATTCATTATGAGCTGTACTTTAATGAGTTTTATGATATAGTTGGCGGTACTATAATGAGTTTTATTTGTAATTTATGTTTTTGCGTTTATAAAGTGTGTATTTATAGAATTGTCTTTGAATTCGTAATTCGAATTTTTCCATTTGAGTGTAGATAAATGATATTTTTTGACAGTAATGTTCAATTTGATACGATAACAAGAGGATAGGATGATAGTTGATAATTTCAGGAGCCTTACACTACAATCTATGAATCAATAGAATTAGGCCGAGGTATTATTTATTTAAGTAGTTTATATTTTTTTTATATTTCGTCAATTTCTTTAGATTTACCAGAAAATATTGTTCTGTATGATTGTCTGTCCCTACTTTTACATAGTATTGATCCGCCTCCATACTGATTTACTTTACGAATCAAGCGGTAAATTAATAAAAAGTATGTATATTCTGTTTAAACAACAAACAAATAGGATTGCTTTCTACAGAACCGTAACCCAAAACTTTATCAAAACGAAGCTTTGACGTGCAAATTTAAACTCACGAGTTTATATTGTACCACCAAGTGCTTTGTTGATTAAAATTACAAAAGGTCTGGAGAAATAGGACCTACACAAAAATATATGAAGTCACATGAGAGAAGACTGCGCGTCCCTATTCGAACCTCTGACAATCTGACATATATAATGTCGTATTGTAAATTTAATTTGCGTTATTTTTTACCACGAACATATTATTCAATTTGATGTTTAATTTGTTCGATTCGAAGGATAATATAAATATTGTGCCATAACAAGGAAACTATCATTACGTCAGATTGGTAACCTATTCTTTTTCTACAAAGTTCAAATTAGCTTTATATTAATTAAGTGACTTCATAGATCCTCTGATCAGATTGTAACAATTAAAAAGTAAACTGCGTAATAACATTTAATGTCAGATTATCTTTAACCCTTATTTAAAATTAACTTTTTTATTATATACCTACCAACAGTTGGCGATCACGCGATATCTGTAATGGATGCCATGAAGTTGTACCAAAAAATATTTTTTTATTTGTTACTAGAAGAGTTGCATAATTTAATTAAACACTAAAGAGAATTTTTTTTTTAAATAATTCTAAAAAAGAAAATAAACTTCAATAGAAATTTCATGGACACATATCCGCCATTATTTTTCCCCTTTTTGAAGTGATTAATTAAAAAATATAGTTTTAGTAATTAAAAATTAAACAAAAGTAAAATACACGATCTTCTGTTTTTTAGATGCCATAAATATATCATTTACGTATTTTTAGTTGCTTAGAAAAATTATTGCAATTCCAGTTATTTTGAAACATTTTTTTCTTTTAAATGACGATCCGATTTATAAAAAAAAACATATAAGACCCAGACTCATCAGCTGTCGAATAAAAAAAAAACGAAGTTATGTTGATGAATATACATAAAAATATATAACCATTTAACATAGACTCGCCTCCATTTTGATTTTAAAAATCTTTTATAAAGCGTTCTTGTGTTAAAGGTATTTAAACGTAGCTGCAAACATAACATCCAAACATAATAAAAAACTGGCCAAGTGTGAGTCGGATTCGCACACGTAGTGTTCTGTACTGGAAACGAGAAAAAATGAAATATTAATTTTATTCTAATTTTTTAGTATTTGTCGTTAAAGAAACAAACGATGTATTTCTTCATCGTCTATAAAAATTTCAACTGTCTAACTATGAATATGACATGAGATACAGACTGGTTACAGACATACAAGGAAGAAAAAGGAACATATAATATATGTTATGATGTATATTTATTTATTTATTAATATCAAATTCAAATTAAATAAAACTTATCACTTCTAGATGTTCATACTGCAGGGAGTTCACCTAAAATATTGATGGATTCTGTCGTATTATAAGCAATTTGGCCATTTGTATTCCATTAGCTTGGCATTTTTTTAGCTTAGCGTGATTAGCCGTAACCGTCATCCGTTCTATGTTTACGATGTAAGTATTGTACTTTTACTGTGTTTTATTGCTAAATATAATTATTCATACAAAATAAGAAATAATAATAAAATCCGTTATGTATTCGAATGGCTCGCACACCACTGCCGGTTTCAACGTATCGCCATTTTTGACGTCACGGCTTCGATTCCCGGTAGAGTCTATATTGTCTCCGGTGTTCGTTTTCTCAGATACTCTATAACACGGGGGCTTTCACTAATAGTCTTGAAATCTGAGCAATGTATGTGGTGTAATCTATTATAATTTTATTATTAATTTTCTGCAAAATGAACAGGGGTTTCTAGCGCCGTTACTACGAGTACAATATAATATTTCGGTATAGTTCTTATTTACGGACGTCAAATTTCATATATATTTTCGTAAAAGGGGATTCATTTTATTGCTATAAATTTTTATTTAAATTAGTTTAACCACGTGTGTGTTTAACATTAATCCCAATTAAATAATTAAATAATCTTAATTATTTTTTAACAACGTTTAATATGTTAACTTATTTAAAACGTTTGTAAATTTCACACACAGGTATAGATTTCGCATAATTTCCTCCTTAATGGAGTAGAGAATAAGCTTGTGTCCTACAACTGAAAATTAATGATTCAGTTATATGTCCTATTAATGTGAACTATTTTCACTTATAAATATTTAACAAAAAAAAATTATCACACTAATTTGGAAAATATTACGCCTGAAAAACATACATACATATGACTTTAAAGTAATTACATAAAATATTACAACTTTCATTATAACAGTTCAAAGCAAAAACGCATAACAAAGATATTACAAAAAATTCCCAGACGCCCATAGGTTTTTGGCTACTGTAGCACCATGTGACGTCACTTAGTACCTTAAATTTGTTGGGAGCATTTTCGGCGGACATGCTGTAGTTCCACAAACATAGTACCTTATCTCCCAAACTATAAATCCCAGACATTATTAGACTGTTTATTAATAAAAAAAAATGTTGTCCACTAGCCTATTCATGTATATGCTTATAAATAAACAAATATTAGATATCAAATAAATTTTCCAGAAAATAGTTAGATTGTATTACGGAAATCTAAAAACAACGAAGATACTACAATAACCAATGACAATAGAAAAGTCCACTTCCTGTATTGGCCCCACCAGGAAATGAACCTAAGAGGTGGCGACACTTTGAAACCCGCGTGCAAGCCAATCGGCATCGAAGAATATTAATTATTAAGAGATTAACATTTATTAAGTAATATCCAAGGGTATTAAAATAAATAGAAAAGCTTTAAGACTTTTTAATTGGAGTTTTGAACTGCTATGGGATTTTTTTGCAGAGCATTATCACTTATCTGTATTACATAAGCATAATTTTATATTGGATGTTTAGAATTATGCTTACTACATAATTATACACCAAACACTATTGCTACTGCCCGCTATGTTTTTATTAAATGTCGGTACATTTACTTGTTGATAAAATTATTTGAAAAAATGGATCGTATTTTCCTGTACTACCTTTGATTTTCCTAACGACAAATACTTTCGCCAGCTACAAACTTGGGAGGCCCACCTGAGAAGAACTAGCAAAACTGGTTCAGACAAGTAATTAATGGCTTCTTCTTAATTATATTAAGACAAATATTAAATTTTAATTATGAGGCTTATAACGGTGTTACGTAAGGTTTCCATTCTATAAGACATAATAAGGAAACCATTGAAATTGGATTTACATAATTATAAGCTTATACTTAATTTTATTTCTCAAATAAATTTGTTAATTTTGTTTTATATTGAGGAACTCAATATCATAGTGGTTAGTACGTTCAGTCTACGATACAGATATTAAGCGAATTTCGCAGAGGCTGGTCATAGAATGGGTAACCAAAAATTTGTTATCTCAAGCTCTTTCTTGTTTCGAAAAGCACGTTAACTCGTTGGTCCATGACAGTGGTATAAACCCGATTATGGTCGTAGCTTATTATCCCAATTCTATTCGATACAATTCCATCCACAGTGAAGGCATGTGCCCCAGCAATGAAGACATTGAATTTGGTGATGATGAATGCAAACAGAGATGTTGCTCAAATCATGATGATTTATCTGTCCACAAGGACTCACTTGACAATATTATAAAAATTATGGAGTCAGACAGTACTTGGAATATTTATAATTTTAAAGTATATTTTAATTATGACTTCATATAATTAATACAATATTATATATATGAATGTTGTACTCACCAAATATAGCCATAGGCCTGGTTTTTTGATCTTCCGCCAAGAACGTGGATACCACACAAGTATAGTTCCCTGTGAGATCTGGACTCAATGACATGATGTGCAACGCTCGATGCTGGGTGTACGGGTTGTGTGATACTTTATAATTAAGATCAAGCTGTAAATTGCAAAAATAGATTAATATGCATCGAAAACAACATTCAGAAAGACTCCAAAGTCAAACAAAAACGACCACGTTTCATTATTTGTAGTAAATACTACAAAATATTGCAAAAGTTACTAGGTTGTATTCTGTGCACCATCATTGAACCAATATTCAAATTTTATATAATTATAATAAGCTATTATAATTTATTTTATAATTTTATATAATTATAATAAAATAGTAAGATTTTACTTATTAGATTTTACTAATAAGTAAAATCTTACTATTTTTGCAAGTAGTGCAACAGCTTATTACACTATTTATAAATAGTAGAACAAAGTGAGCGTGTAAATTCATAAGTGGAACATAACTTCTTAATTGCTTACGTGGTAGGTACCTCGATACCATTTCTAACTAATAAATTATATTTACTCAAAAATACTATTATGAGTTAACCTACGAGTATATGTTCTTAGGGTTTATCACAAAAGCTATTTCAAGTGGCTCAACAATTAAACAGAAAATGTATCTTTCTGGCGTTATTTTTCAGTTATCTCTCACTTCCAAAGTATTGAAAGAGTTCTCTTACCTTATTTTTTAATCGACCTAACGCTTGTGGCTTCTGCGGTGGTATCCATTGGTACACCGGTTGCGATTTATCCATGTAAAACCATTTGACCACAAGCCCTGTGACGTTGTCCGTGACATAGTCGCAATCCAGGGTCACAGAATCTTTGGTTCCATACTGTATGACTTCAGGTACTCGCATGTTTATTATCCGTACTGATTGAACAACTGAAATAAGAAAAAAAAATTCCTTTACCAAACAAACAAATTTACACACACACTTTTAAAAATAAAATTCTCATAGAATACTGGACCAGTTGGTTTATTCACTTTATAATGTTGTACTGACCAGAGTACTGATGCAAGTTTGGCTAATCATATATGAAAGTAACCCGATATGGAATATATTGCTTAATATGGAATGTTAAATTTGTTCTTATATTCTTACTGATCAATATTATTTAAAAAATCAATAATTTTTAATAAGTCCAAGGTGAAATAGATTATCGATATGAAAAGGATTCTTTTGATTAACTTCAAAGTGTTTTAAATTTATATAAAGAATAATTTAGAAAGTAATATATTTAGTTCAGTATTCTTTTTAGGTATATTATTCCATGGGGTACGTGGTCGGAACACCTCCTCGTGCGCCTGTTACCATGGATGATCAGCTCCCACTGGGAGCGGATCCGCCATTGTTGCGGGCCGGTGTACCCCGGGCATAGGGAAGGATGAATTCAGCGTTAGCTGATTCATCGGTCCCTATGGCCAAGAGTCCGACACTGGGGGCTCGGCGGGCGTCTTGGACATATTCCAAGTAGCGGCCGCCGAGGGGGGGGAGTCCTTCGGGACAGGGGAGGGGGGGTCGTTGGGTTGGGGCTTCTGTGCCCTCCATCGTCTTGCGCGTAGGGGGGAGGCAAGGTCCACCCAGGACCACGTGTGGGGAGCCCAATTCGGGCTAAGAGGTTGTTCCGTGCCGGCGTCCTGACAGTAAGTCGGGTAGCGGCGGTGCGGATCGGAGGCTCGGCCGGCGTCCGGGACGTATTCCCGGTAGCGGCGGTCGAGGACGTCTTGAATCGTGAAGCATAGGGGGTGGTAGGCCTCTTGTGGGCCGCGACTTGGGGCGTCGTTGTTAGTAGTGGGCGGAGGGTCGGTGCGTCGGATGGGCGTGTGCGGTCTAACCCGCGCCTGTACGACGTACTGACATAAAAACGGCTCTACTGAGCCACCTCCGGCCACGCTCGTTATCCCGTACGTGGTGCGGGACCGAGGGCCGCTGCCTGCGGGCGGGGGCCAAGAGGAGACAACCTCACTAAAAAACCAAAAGAGGGGGAGATAGGAGGAGGAGTTGGGTGGCCTTACCCGCAAGAGGTCAAAAAATATGAAAATGTCGACGGAGAAAAATCAACTACCTCCGGAGGGTACCCGATGGCCGGGAGAATCCCTCCCTGTGACCAGTGATGGCGCAAGCGCGTCAACACTGGTCACAGGCTGCCCACGCTCGGAGGAGGGCAGAAGTCGATATCAGGAGAAGCTGGCTCCGAAAAATAACAGCCGAGATGAAGTTGTAGGAGAGGACGAGTCCAGTTGCGCATCATCACCCATTATCGCAACAGGACAGAAACGTCCGTTGAAGTGTGTGGATCTCGAGGGAGACCCGAAGAAGTCGCCGGAAGCGAAAATCGCGACACTAGTGAGTGGGAGAAGAAAGGGGCTGTGTAATCCGCGCCGATTGAATCCGGAAATAGAGGAACAATCGGACAGCTCCGAAGAAAGTGTCATTCGGCTAAGGTCCAAAGAGGGGGACGAGACAGAGACAGAAGGAAAGCGGGAGGAAAATATAGCAAGGAAGGACACACCGGAAAAGACAACTGAAAGGGAGGAAGAATTAGTGGTCGTGGACTCTGGCTCAGTGGTAGGGGATACCATGGAGGATACCTCGGACATGGAGCTTGAGGACGAAGGTGAAAGAGAAGGAAGGACTATTGTGGAAGGGACTGATCTAGACAAGATAGCTTTGGAGGAAGATAGGAAGAGAGGGGAACGATTCCTAGAAAAATGGGAGAAGGATAAAGATAATACCCTGAACATCATTGACGAGGACATACAGGATGTAGTCGCCCGCGTCATGATACTCAAGGGTATTACAGCAAGGGAGAAGAATGAAATAGCGGATACGATGAGGGAGATAGAGGAGGAGGCGAGGACGTTGAGTGAGATCACCAACACCAAAACCTTTGCTGACCTCGTTAAGGAGAACATCAATCTCAAGGAGGAAAATCGGGTGCTAAGAAAGGAAATGAAGGACCTGAAAGACGAGAAGGAACTGAGAGACAGGAGGATTAGAAGGATGCGGAGGGAGATGAACGACCTGCACACGGAAATGGAGAAGTTGAGAGGCCTTGTCAACTCTCTCCAAGACCGGATCGTTGAGTCTCCCGCCCCGGCGAGTCCTGGAAGTGAGATCTTTCTGAGATCCGTGATGGAGTCCGTTGGTACCATGGTCTCTGCCCGGATCGAGGGCTTGGAGGAAAGGCTGCTTCCCCCAGTCAACCACCGACCACCCCTCGCGACAGATAAGAGGGCCGCCCCGGTCGCGAGGAGACGAACGGCAACGGACGAAATAGAGAGGGAGAGACCTTCGCTTGATCAGAGGTCATGGTCGCAAGTAGTCAGTGGAGGGCGAAATAGCACGGCTACAGCGACCCCTGCAACCGTGACCACGAGCAAGACAAAGAAAAGGGAGGAGAAGAAGGAGAAGGAAAAGAAGGATAAGACGAAGAAGGACCCCCCCGTGCAAAACAACAACACAGGGAAGAAAAAGTGGGATAGAAAAAAGAGGAAAAGGAACAGAAAGATATGGGTGCCGCGAACAGCAGCGGTGTGTCTACAGATCTCCTCAGAGGCCACTGAAAGGGGGATCGCGTATAAAAATGTGTTGGATAAGGCGAGACGTAGGATCCATCTAAAAGAGGACGTCGGTATCGAGGAGATGGGAAGAAGAGTCGCAGCAACTGGCGCTCGAATCTTTGAGATCCCTGGACCAGAGGGTGCTGCCAAGGCCGACAAGCTGGCCGGACTATTGAGAGGGATAATGGGAGAGGACATCCTAGTTTCGAGACCCGTCAAATGCGTAGACATGCGCGTGACGGGTCTCGATGATGCCATAGACGCGGAAGACCTGCGGGCGGCTGTCGCGGAGAAAGGGGGTTGCTCTCCGGACAACATAAAGATCGGCCCAATTAAAATCGGCTACGGGGAAGCTGGAGTAGCTCACCTGAGGGTGCCGGCGGTGGCAGCTAGGTAGCTAGTGACGGAGAATGGCAAGCTGGTTGTGGGATGGGGATGGGTGAAGATCCGTGTCCTCCCGCCCCTCCCATTGCGCTGCTTTAAGTGCTTGGGAGTTGACCATGTGAGGGCACAGTGTCCAGAAGAGGTGGACCGCACGGACATTTGTTTCCGGTGCGAGGTGGCTGGCCATAAGGCCGCCAGTTGCGGGAAGAAGCAGCGTTGTGCCGTTTGCGCAGCGGCCGGACTACTCGCCGTCTCTCTACATGAGTTCTCCTTCTGAGAACGCAGTTGAGAGACGGGGATGTGGTGCGAGTTGTACCAGGAAGCACCCCTCCTCACAGGAGGAGGGGGGGGGATGTCCCCATCTCGCACCGCGGCGGCGGCGTCGTCGGGGCCGGGGCTCTGTCCACCTAGTGGGCGGAGTACCGGGCCTGGGCGGCGCCGCCGCCGCGGTGCCGCGCCCCTGGTGCCGATCGGTCGTCCGTCGGGTATTCGTCCTAGGACGTATTCGACGGCCGAGCCGGCGGCGGCGGGGGCGCGGCAGGTTACGGCGGGCGCCAGTGTTCGTCGTGGCCGGCGATGGAGGGATGGAGTCGGCTGCGGCTCGGCGGGGCACTCACCTCTTCGGCCTTTTATGAGTCGACGGGGGGAGGGGCCACGTCGACCAGCGGTCGACACCATGGCAGCGGGAATACTCTGATCTGTCGTCATGGGCACCAGGGGACGTTGGCGCCGGGGCTGCCCGAGGAGTATAGCTCGAGGGGGAGGCCGAGGCGACTTATCAGAGTGTTCGTCAGACGATAAAGGAAGGTGAAATAGCCCAATTGCGCATCTCTTCTTCCTAACGGGGGGAGCGGGGGGGATGATTACCCCCTCGTTCGTTGCACACCCCAGTTGTCTGGGGAGGGTTCCTCGAAATTACCCGGGAAACCTCCTGGCCGCAGAGAGGGAGGACCGTTCAGTCGGTCCCCCATGGTCTGGGTAACCTGAGTTTCTCCTTGCCGGATACCAGGTCTCAGACTCTGTGAGGGTAATACGGGGGGTTTTGCACGGTAGGCCTGCTGTAGATAGGGGTTCTTTAACCTCCGCAGCAGGAGAGCCCGGGTTCAGTCGGCCTCTAATCAAGGTCGATGGCATGTTAAGGTCAGTTCCCCTTGGTACAAAAAAAAAAAAGTTATATTATTCCATATTAGTTTAATTTCCCCTGGTAAATATTGTTATGCATTTTGTTGTATAAGACCCCGTTTCTGAATTGAGAATTTAAAGTTAAGCACGTTTCAAACTATACTTAAGCGTTACTTAAGCGTTACTTAAACACGTTTTCATTATAAAACTAGGACTTTTTGCCATGGGGAAAGTAAAACTTAAGTTATTGAGAATAATCAGTTAAGATTTTGTACTTTTATCAATTCAGACATTGGCCGTATTTCTTTTTTTTTTTTGTTAGTACTTATTACTATGAGGCATTCCTGATAATATCTGACAATATATTGAATCAAATAAAGAAGAGTGATTTTTAATTTCCCATTTATAATGTAAATTAAATTACAGATTAGTACAGATTTAACTTAAATATTTGAAGTAAGTACGATATTTGATCCGTTTATGACTCTATTCATGATTTAAAAAAATTTCAGCACCCATGTTTAACTAAACATTTGAACTAAAGATATAACTAGACTTCGTCCGCGTGGTAGAGTTACTTTGGGCAAAATATATTTTCCAAAAACGTTGTTGTTTTTAGAGCTCATGATGAAATTACCTTGATGTTTAAGTTTGAAGATACTACAACAAAAACATAACAAATATCCAATATGTTATAGCAAAATTCTTAGAAAAAAACGTTAGCGCAGATTACTTTACAATAAACGCCATCTAGTTATAGCAAAGCTTAAATTTCTTACTACATTTTATTTTAAAACAATTTTAAAATATTTTGTTTTGTTATAAATTATATAAACATCAATTTTCATCGCTATGTAATCTTATATTTGTAAATAATATTAAATATGTTGGCGCATCGATTGTACCGCGATTATTCGATATTGATTCCTAAACGAAAGTGAATTACCAAAAGTAAGTTGCCGCAATTTTTGGTAGACATTCTGTTTCCGATCGTCAAGGAGTAAAGACATCCGACGACATCGCGCTGATCTCATTATATTTTCGTATGAAAAGTGATAAAATGGAATAAGTCCACATTGGTATACACGCCTGCAGTGTTATTTTAAAGATAGTCCTCCGATATGGACGATCTATTTGGGCTTCGTAATAGCCCGCTGAGACTACCCGCCTACAAATACATTTATTACAGTGTTAAAATAAACAAATAAACAATGGTTGCTTTGGTAATATTTCAATTCTCCTTAAAAACTTCCACTCCCGTTTGTATCCCTATAAGTGCTGGTTTTCGGAATAAAATATAACATTATGTTTTCAGGGCCTTAAACTGATCTTGAAAAGCTAACTCGAGAGCACGCCACGTAAAATTACCCATGCGGAACAGTCATCCCTCAAGTCAACTCCAGCGTATTTTAAAGATTATCCTTGCAACTTATTGATAGTTATTGCAAAACAAACCTTTAGAGGGAACTACAAGCGTTT